ATGAGTTATTTATAATTATTTTATTAATATTAATTTTAGATAATTTATTGAAATGCATAATTGATGAATTATAAAATTAACAAGAATCAATAGTAAAATTACTTATATATATGTTTATTCTTGCCTTTTAAAATAAAAATAAAGTAGTATTTGTGAATACACAATTCTAAATCCTAAAATTATTAATAATTATGGTTTCTCCTAAATCTTCACATTAAAATTTAAAAATAACTTAATTTTCAATGCTAATATTGAAAATATATATATTTTATAAATTTACATGAAGGAAAATTACTCCTTGAATAGACATGATGATTGGAGAACTTATTGTAGAATAAAATTATGAATCATATATCTTTAAATCAACTGATTAACCTAATACTCCAAAAATCAAAATCAACTCAGCTTATATAAGAAAATTAAGCTTATATAGTACCCTAAATTCTTAAACTTCTTTTTTTAATAGAAAATATATTTTCTTAATAAGAATAATCAATAATGTATTCAGGATTAAAAATCATACAATATGACAATAAATGAATTATAAGAGTAAATTATTTTAGTCCAATTTCATTGAAATATTGATAATTATACAATTGATCTTAATAAAGGTGAATTGAATTCAATTAATTACAATCAATTTCATGCTAATTAAAATATTATATAATACATTATTTTATTCAAAATTGTAGTTACAATTATTTTCATAAAAAATTATGCAATTTGTAAGTTTGGATCAATATGAAAAAATTAAGAACGGATTTTCTGGTTACATCTAAAAGTATACATCAAATTTTCAGAAGTTATCTAAAAATATGGATTTATTGACTATTTTAATTAGGATAATATACATTTATTTCCTCCTTTGATCTCTCTTAACAAACTTAACATAAAGAAGGACATTAAATACATTTACCATTAATTTGAACTCTTATTGGTTCTTTGAAATAATTTAATTTGCACTTGAATTAGGAATTAAACGAATCCCTGTATTGGCTGATACTAAATAACCATCCTCACAAGTTAAGGATTTTATAGTTTATTATAGAGTGTATATGCAATATTTGCAATTTAAAATGTGGATTTGACAATTTAGTATTTCTAAAGCAATACTGAAATCATTAATATCAGATAATGTACAAATTTCATTTTCATCTAAATTAATAAAAGATCTCAAAAAATTTTATTAAGATTAACTCTTATAAATACATTGACCAGAGCTGAATTAAAAAATGAATCCTTCTTTACATTAAGCACAACCTACTTTGATCTCTTCATCAATTAGAGAATAGCTTTCATAAAATCCCAGAGTAGTTTTTGTAGGATCACTTGCTAAATAATTGAAACAATATAAGCAATGGTGTAATTCACAAATAACACATTTTTTATAAAAATCTATAAAATTAGGAGATTTGCAAGTTTCTTTATTTTATCCCTATGGGCGATAAATAGTAGGTTGATAATTGAACAAATAAATTGTGTTACTGAAATTTAACATTCAAAGCACTCATCTCCACATTAATAACAATTATTCTTTATTGTTTTAATTTCTTAGATAAATTAAAGATTAGAAAGATAATATAATCAATATAAAAGTATAAATTAAATACTGTAAATTTATTTACAATATTGATTGGCATAATTATTTAAATTAAAATAATTATTCTATATAATCAACTTAACTATTAGATGAACTTATTGAATTACAATCAGGACAGTATTATATATCATCTCCTACTAAAATATAATATAATTTATTATATGTTTAAAAATATTTTAATGTGTTTCCGTTCTTATCTGTCCATAATATTGTTTAACAAAAAAGAGTCTAAAACCATAAACTAGGATTTTATACACATTCCAGACATGTAATAAAATTTTTATTAATTATAGATGGACTTATATATTTATTATATAATAATACCATTTATAGTATTCATCATTGAATTAAAAAAACCATATTGGCATACTGTTTTTAATTCTTATTCTTAAACTAAATTAAGATTCAAATTTTAATAATTAATACATTCATTATTTGAATCAATTGTTCCATATTAACAGATGCATTCCTTAAAATCTGGTAAATATCTTCTATTTGATAATTCAAAACATGACAAACAATCTTCTTTAGTTGGACCATCACATTCTTTGCAAGTAAGATGGCAATTATTATTTGGTTGATTAATATCTGGACAATTTAAAAATTTAAAACCTATAATTTATATAATTAAATAATCTGATTTAGACTTTAAAGTATTCCCATAAAGTAATTTAAATTATACCATATTAAAATGATTAACTAAAATATTTAAATTGAATTATTCTTGATCAAAACCTTAATAAAATGTTATTGAAATAGAAATAGAAGTCTCTGTCTTTTCTATTAATATATAATGCCATAATTAAATATCACAATTTATATCAAATTTTTATGTCTTTAAAAAAGGATTTTTTGAAAAATCAATATTAACAGTTGGGAAAGTATAACTATATGATTTTATGATAATTTAGTTCCCTAAAGATGAAATCTTATATAATAATTAAAATTATCTTATGTCAATTATGAATTAAAAATTTCCTGACAGTTTAAATAATTAATAATAAAATTCATCTGAATATAAATTAATTTCTTTAAGTTTAATCCAACCTGATAATAAAAACTTATATTAATTAAGTTATTAAGATAAAATTAAAATTGATCTTATTATTATATAATAATATCTTCAATTTCTGTTTTAGCACTATTTTAGCAATAACATTAATTTTCATTATTTTATTCAATAATATCTAAGAAATTTTCAGGTTTATCAGTGAAAAAATCAAGAGGATAAATCATTTATCCTGGAAAGAATGAAAGTAATCTATTTTCATATGTATAAAGTGATGAATTTTAACTTACTTTGAAATGTCCTACGATTATTAAATTATAATTAGTTCCTTCTAAAGGAAAATGAATTTAGATTTATTATGAAAAATTCTAAGACATTTACTCATATAAATAAATAGAAACTTGTTTTTATGATGGAATTGTTATGAATCCTTAAAAATACCATATAAATTTATATGATGCTTCATTTATTGATATTTCTTATTGAAATTAGCTGCCATCACTACCTAAAAATTAAAAATATTTCTTGATTGTTTTCTATTCAAAATTGACACATTCTATTATTAAAAAATGCAATTCATTATTTATCCTATCCTAAATTCTATACAAATGAAAACAACTACTATCAAGTATTCCAATTTCACCAATTTATAAAACATAACTTAAGGGTACAAATCTACTCCAAACTCCAAAACCAGCACAAATGATATCAGTATCCATTTAATTTTCTATTGGTTCAATTATAAGTGGATAAATTGATGGTAAACTTAAAATGCTCCAGGATAATGAATACTAAACAACTATCATTGTTATTAAATAACATGAATATGTTTTCATTTTTATGAAAATTGTAATTAAATTATAATGAGTAATTATTAGATTTAAATATGTATATGAATCTCATTCCTAATAAAAATCAAAAAATAAATGTATATTAAATCCATTTTTACTATTAAAGATTAATTATCAAATCATAGAAACTAATTAAAAAGATTTTAATTTAAGAGCAGTATTGAATTTTATCCTTTATAAATTATTAATATAATTATCAATTTTTATTGAATTTATAATTCAATATAATATAATATTATTAATATTTTCCATAAGTTTAGCTTAAATAAATATAATAAAAAACTAAAATATGAAAATTGTGTTTTTCTTTATGTTCTTGAGTGATTTATGAGTGTAATTAATATTCTATAAAATTATGTAATATAATTAAATTAAGTATTAGACATATTTAATAAAAATTTATAATTAAATTTTAATAGTTCAATAAAGATTTATCTATTTATTTATACTATTTTAGACGGCATTATTTATGGGAATTCATTATCTATCAATCATAAGATTCAATAATATCTATAACTTATTCATTAACATGATAAACTTATATTAATACTAGGGAGATTTACATGAGAAGATGTTAGAAATATTCAAATTGCAGTATTAATTGCAAGTCGTTCATAAATTTTATAAACTCTAAAAAGAATAACAAACTTTTTAATATGCTGGTATGATTGTGCAATTATTTTTTTAATTCTCATTCATAAAATTTCTTTTATTTTTGTAAAAAATGAATGAAATATTATTAAACCAATATTCATTTTTGGAGACTTAATAGAGGATCTTGTAAACAGAACAACTTTTAATAAATTAAACTTGATAGAATTATTTAATTACAGACAAAAATATATTTATATTGAGAAATTATAAATATAAAAATTATCAAGGCAGTTGTTTGATTATATTAATATAATAGAAGAATATTTCCCTTCTTTCTTATATGAGAATAATACCTAATAATCATTAAAGATTTCAATCCCTTACCAATTCAATAATTATTAACAATAAACCAAATGGATATTGATTATCTATAATTTAAATTTATTTTATTATCATATGGTAACTGTTATATGTTTGTTAATTACTGTTCTTAAATCGTATTTATTTCTTAAGAATAGAATATATAATCAGCTAAGCCATTTGATCAATAGTTCAATAGAAAATAATATTAATATGTTATTGGAAGTTAAATAAAGGGATTATCTCCATAAGTTGAAGCAGAAAAAAATACTGATTGACTCACATATCAATAGATGTAATGGATTATATTACAAATTTTCGAATTATTAAATAAAATAATCTTTTCATATTTTTAGAAAGAGAATATGGATATTCACCAAAAGATATTTACTTACATTAAAAATGGGAATAATGAAAACTGATGTACTTTAATAGGCACTATCAAAATTTTATAATTTAAATTATTGTTTACATATTACATAAATTATTATTCTAAGCATATTAATAATATGAACAATAAAAGTCTTGAAAAATAATTTTTTGAAATATTTTTCATTCTAATAATTCATAAGATCCACTTTAAGATTAATTATTAAAAATACTCCAATAATAATGATTATTTAAAAACCTTCTATTTTTATAATCCACATTTTAATTATTTTCAATAATCTAAAAAAATAATGAATATTTTTTCTAGAAAATTATTCATAATTTAAATTGTTTTTTAAAATGAGTAAACAAATTGGTTTAGAAAATTTAAATGAGTTTAATTGTTAAAACAATCATAACTCATAAATAAAGTTAGTTGTTCTTGATCCAAATTTACAAAAAAATAAAAGATTCATTTGTAATCTATGTTTAGAAAATTTTGAATCAAATTACCCTACTATTGGATTTGAGAAAATAATACAAATTATAAATGATTTATAAAAATAGAAAATGAAAGAATTAGAAATTCAAACTACAACAAATATTAAATAATTAGAAAAATGTGTAAAATTGACTTAAGAATTATGGATGTAATTTAATAGACTTTTTGATTCTCTTATCAGAATAGCTAAAGATTGGAGTAAAGATTTAGAATTATAAATAAAAGAATGTTATAAATACAAATTTGAAGATGAATTAGATGATTATATAAAAAAATAAAATAATAGTGAAATTGCAAATATATAACTTATTAAGAATATTAATAGATCTTGGATGAATAAATTATATAATAACTTAAATTAATATAATTAAAATGAAGATAAGATTAACTTTAGAGAATTAAAGAAATAATTCATGAAAATTATAAATTAATAGGAATCACAAGAAGATGAAATCAAATTCAATTTAATTGATTAATCTGTTAAATAAAGTATAAAATGCAATGCAATATCTTTTGGTTCTTCTGGATAATATATGATATCAACTGAATATCAAAATATAAAAGTATGGAGTTTCAAAAATGGAAAAATTAAGTATTTATAGACTTTGTTTGGACATAGTAAATGGATTTAGTGTTTATTATATAGTAAGAAATAAAATTCCTTTATTTCAGGTGCTGGAGACAAAACAATTAGATGTTGGAAAAATACGAACTTTAATGATTGGATTAGTTCAAAACCCTATATATAACATACGGATTGGGTAATGTGTCTTGAAATGAATAAGAATGAGAATCTACTCTTTTCTGGAAGTAGTGATTATTCAATAATAGTATGGAAGCTTGATTTTAATTAGAATGAATTAACATATCTTTATTCATTAAATAAACATAATTATTATGTTATTTCAATAAGTTTAAATTAATTAGAGAATTAATTAGTATCTTGTGCACAAAGAAAGAATTAGATTATTATTTGGGAAAGAAAAGAAATAAATACTTATGAATTTAAATATATTGTTAAATAATCAATTTATAATTATGGATTAAAGGTTAGTTTTATTACTGAAAATTCATTTATTTGGATTACAGGTGATTAAGGAATAGATATGATATATTTATTTGAATTAATTGAAGGTATATATTAAGAGATCTAACATAAGTCAATTCAATTAATGAATAATGATTAGGATTATGATGAATATTTCTTTCCTATCATATATAATAAATAGAGGAACTTGATATTAGTAAGACATAAATCATAAATTTATTTAATTAGAAATATTAATAATGGAAACTTTAAAATAGTTGATTAATTGAATTGTAATACATCAGATATTTATGGGACAATGACAGATAATGGACAATATTTGGTTTTTTGGGATAGTAAAATTAATGGATATTCAATTTATGAATTATAAATTTAATGAAAATAGTCTAATTTTAATCATATTGAAATCTATATATTCCCAATCACCCAATGCAAATTGAAAAAATAAATACTTTAATAGGTTTTTATGGCTCTTTTTATTTTTACTTATAAAATTATATATTAATAATAATATTTACTTCTTTAATTATCTGAATCTAAGAATATAGAATTAAGCGTCACATATTGATGTTATTTTAATTTGATTACTTTTTGAATTAGAGAAATATTGTAGTTCTTCTAGATTTTATTAATATCTCCATTTAAATTCATTAAAAAGAGAACCATTCAATTTAGTGGGATTCTAAATATATGATAACATAAACTAGAAATAGGAAATAAAATAAAAGTGACTGTATTTCAAGTTCTTTATTATAAATAAATCCATTTGGCTAATAGTGATGCTTATATTAGCAATTTTAATTTCTTTTTAAAGAGATAAGATTGAATCTAGTCAGTAAGTTTTAAATTATAGCCTCTTTTATTTAAAAATTGAAATTAACTCTATCTATTTTATGTAAGTGATTTATAAAAGGGATTCAGTATTTTTCTAAGCAATAGAAGTGCAAAACATAATTACAATTGTTTAATTTTTTTTTTACACCTCTGTTCATCTTTAAATATCAATCCCCTTGAAAATATAAAAAATTATCCTGATTATTGGTTATTTTTGGTATTTTAAATATTTTCACAAATGTTGTTGCTATGAATTTCATATGAGTATCTTTCATCCACAAATCTTTTTCCTCTTAACATTAATTTATTGAATTTCTACCTGTATTTTATAAATTTGTCTTTAAATACCTTCATTTTTTTCTTAGATCCGCTCTAATGTTACAGAATCAATTTAGAATTGACTAGAACTATATTTATTTCTAATGAATTAATCGGATAATATTTTGATTGATTACTATTTTTTGTGATTGTTTTGTGATTATTATTAATTAATTCCTTGGAGTTTAAATAATAAATAGATCATGATCATATCTTCTTTGCCAGTTATTTTTCTTTTCTATGAATATACTAACTTGATTTCTCCATTATTATTTATTCTTTAAATATTTTTACAGCACCTGCTTTATTAAATACTAGATTTATATATTATAAATATTGTTTTTGAAAGCTTTTATGATTCATTTAGAATTCAGAAATAAAATTGATAGAAGTTTTGTTTTAATTACAAAAATTAGATTTTTATTGTTAAATATATTGGAAGTTTTATTATTATTATGATTATATTTTTTAACTTGGATTTTATTAAAAGAACATTGAGTTAATATTTTATTGAAATTCTTATTTTTATGGAGTGAATAAATTGTAAATGTTTAAATACTTACATTTCATTTTGTGTTTAGAATAAGTTTTTAAAGAAAACTCTGGGGTAAATTTAATCATTTTATCTACTTTAAAATTTAATAATATGTTAATTATATATATTTAATATTTGTAAATTGTTAATAAATCATTATTAAAATAATGTAATTCACTGTTATGATTAATTTTTATATAAAATGAAAATATCTCATTTTTATTCAAAATTATTTTATTAATAATTCTAATGGTTCTATATTATAATTTTATGCATCTAAATCGATAGATTCTACAGGTTTAATTTATAATCTATTTGATTCTTTTTTGCTTAGAATTTGATTTTCATCTAATTTTCCACCCATTTAATGACTTTAGACTAATACCATATCTCCA